ATAGTATAGAGGAAGCAGCAGCAGCAGCAGCAGCAGCAACAAAAGCAGCAACAGCAGCAGCAGCAGCAGGAGATAAAGGGAGCAAAAAACTATTTGATCATAGACTGTATAGACATCATTGTTCTACTGCACCAAGGAATCCACAACCTGCAAATAGAGCAGCAGCAGCAGCAGCAGCAGCAGCAGCAGCAGCAGCAGCAGTTGGTGCAGCAGGAGATGTAACAGGAGGAGTAGAGGGAGAAGGAATAATAGAAGGAGGAAGAAGTGGTAGAACAGCTGCAGCAGCAGGTGCAGCAGCAGCAGCAGCAACAGCACCATTAGTACCAAATATACCATCAGCAATAGAATTAGAATCTGCTGCTGCAGCAGCAGCAGCAGCAGCAGCAGCAGCAGCAGGACTTCCAACATTCCCTGTATATTATGTAAAGGATCTCCAACATGCAATAACCCCATCACCATCAACAGCAACAGCAGCAGCAGCAGCAGCAGCAGCAGCAGCAGGACCATCTTCATCAACCCTATCAACATCAGCAGCATCAGCAGCAGCAGCAGCAGCAGCAGCAGCAGCAGCAGCAGGAGGAGTACGACACCTAAGCCGCTGCTTGCTGCTAGATAATAGTTTTGCTTCCTTTGGTGGTCAACCAGAGAACTGTCTATGGATAAAACCTTACTATGGTGCAGCAGCAGACACAGAGCTGCAGCAGCTGCTGCAGTTGCTGCTGCTGCTGCCACAATATAATGATGTAAGACAAGGTATACAATCTACACCTTTTGCTGCTGCATGGATATCTTATAAACAGCAGCAGCAACAGCAGCAACAACAGCAGCAACAGCAGCAGCAACTGCAGCAGCAACTGCAGCAGCAGCAGCAAAGGAAGTGTCTATTAGATATGCCACAGCAGCAGCAACAACTGCAGCAACTGCAACAGCAACGGCAACAGCAACAGCAGCAACAGCAACAGCAAGAGGAAGAGCAGCACAACACACCTATAGAACTACAGGACATACATGGGCAACAGCAGCAACAGCAGCAAGAGATACAGCAGCAGCAGCAGCAACTGCAGCAACTGCAGCAAATAACAAATCATTTATCTCAGCATATAGACAGAGATGATGATAGTACAGCAGACACACAAGCAGCAGCAACACAAGCAGCAGCAGCAGCAGCAGCAACAAGGCATGGTGGTGGTGGTGGTGCTGCTGCTGCTGCTGCACCTGCTGCTGCTGCTGAGCATCGTAGGTGGGAGAGAAATCGTGATAGAAGAAGGGTCTCTGCTGCTGCAGGCAGCAGCAACAGCAACAACAGCAACAACAGCGGCAGCAGCGGCAGCAGCAACAGCAGCAGGATAGGCAACAAGAGCAGCAAGGAAGTAACTAGTAGGACACCGCGTCTGCGGCATACTCGTGCTGCTTCTGTCCCTGCAGCAGCAGGAGCAGCAGCAGCAGCAGCAAATCCTGCAGCAGCTGCTCCCCTTAGAAGGACGCAGGAGCAGGGACAGCAGCAGCAGCAGCAGCAGCAGCAGCAGCAGCAGCAGCAGCAGCAACGAACACCGCGGCTGGGATCGCGTATCCCGCATACTCGGGAGACCTCAGCAGCAGGAGCAGCAACAGCAGCAGCAGCAGCAGCAGCAGCAGCAGACAACCGCACACCTATGTATGCAAGAAGGAGGAGAGTGAGCAACAGAGGGCAAGAGAGCCACCAGCAGCAGCAGCAACAACAACAGCAGCAACAGCTGCAGCAGCAACTGCAGCAGCAGCAGCACTCTGTGGCGTGTCTTAAGAGACAAGAGAAGGAGAAAACTTCCTGGTGTACATGCAGCTTTGCTGCAGCACAAGCACTGCAGCAGCAGCAGCAGCAGCAGCAAACAAATGGCAGCAACACCAGCAGAAGCAGCATGAGCAGCAGCAGCCGCAGCAGTGCAGCAGCAACAGCAGCAGCAGCAGCAAGAGCAAGACAAAAAGAAGAAAGTATAAGAAGACAAAATAAACAATCAGCAGCAGCAGCAGCAGCAGCAGCAGCAAATAAACAGATGCATGCAGTGCCACGTCTGCAGCTAGATTCCTTAACAACAGCAGCAACACCACGAAGACAGCAGCAGCAACATCAAACAGTAACAGCAGCAGCAGCAGCAACAACAGCAACAGCAGCAGCAGCAGCAGGAGGAGGAGGATACTGGGGAAATGATGATATATCTGAGTATACAGAAGAAGAAGGAGACTTGGATATACACCCCAGTCCTATAAATCTATGGCAACTGCAGCAGCAGCAGCAGCAGCAGCAGCAGCAGCAGCAGCAGCAGCAGCAGCAGGAGTACGGATATAAGGATATAAAATATATAGGGGAAGCAGAGCCAATAAAACAAAAAAAGAATAAAAGAAAACAACCAGCTAATTTAATTGGATCCCCTAGTGTATATACACCCCAATTAGTCTGCAGCAGTCTTGCTGCTGCTGCTGTTGCTGCTGCTGCTGCTGCTGATTCAGCTGCTGCATTTGCTGC